ATCGAGATCCTCTTTAGTTGGTGATCATTTCTTTTATTCTTGTGACCTTGATGTTTGATTCAGGTGTGACCCAGTAAGGAGAAATTAGATGCTAATAACTATCGAGTGTGGAACGGTTAAAGAAGTTGACTGGTCGTAGTCTCTTACATGTGGGGCCCTTTGTTCTGATTTTGATTGCTTTGGTTTTGAAATTCATGAAGGACAAGTCGTCTCTCCACCCTTTTATGTTGTGCATTTTCTTCTCTTTCCAGCATTGAAGGCAATCGACTATGACGTACATCCTGCGTTGGAGCAACGGGGGCAAAATATGGAAACGTTGAAAAAAGGTAATGTTCCTAAGGCTTTCCGCAACTTTGATTTATCTAGAAAGATGTTTTTCGTCTGGTCACGCGCGTGGGACTAAGAAAAAATTCTGATCGATTCTCCATGCGGAATCGAACCTCAGACCTTCGAGTTCCGCGCTCCGATGCTCTACCACGGAGCCACAGAGAATATGGTGAGCAAGGCTCATTACAAAGTTTATATTTGACACGCGTCCTTCATACAGCTAGGATCGGCAATGTCGAAAGCGTCATGTTTTGTAAATAATAAGAAGGATGGTAGGTTTTGAGCTCGGTAACTAGACGCAAAGCATCTTTCAATCTTTCTTTACCGAGCTTAAAACTTATCACCTTTCCTATTCTTTGATTTATTTTTCTTTTTTTTAATGTCCCTCGCAATATGACATTGTATTTCGTAAATCTACACAATACAAAACCACAAACAATGTAGGTTTTTCATTGCTTTGCGATTAAAATCCATTGGAAAACACATACTTCGCTGACTATCCATCGTTTTCAAATAGCTTTACGTTCCGTCGAAGACGATGAACAAGAAGAGCGATGGGTTAGAGACATTGAATCAGGTCAGTTTTTACTTCGGGTCTTTCTACAGGAGCGAAGAGGACAGTAGAGTCACATTTGCTTGTTGTCCTAGAGAGAGTTCCCGATAACTTTTGCGCTTAGAATTTGTCAACCTCATTGTTAAGCCGCTAAGTTCCCAACTTCACAAGTCCGTTTGAACTGAAGTCTTCTACTTCTTTTTGAACCTAGAGATATAATAAAAATTTTACTAACCTTGTTTTATCGGTCCGCACTGTAAGTTATGTCGGATCTATGACCCAAACGCTCGCTCAGCTGCATAGTAAAATCACCGAGCGCATCCCCATGATATATATAATTAAGGAACATCGTTTTTTATTTCCCTACCTGGCTAAAAATTTACCATATTTCTTAGTCAAATCATGCTTTTGTTGTTTGTTCAACAGCTTTGAAATCAATTGAAAGAGAGACAGCATATCATGGTCAGTGTTGGTCTGTTTTATTTGTATTTTCAGCAGTTTCTGGTCAAGAAAAAAAAAGGGAAATTGAATACCTTCAGTCTGAAACAAGCAGAAACAACTCTGTGCAATACACGATCACACAAATGCGTGACGTTCGACCTGCTTTGTTAACGGTGGAAAAATGTGAGCCACCGCCCAGGTCTCGTTATCATTTGTAAATGGGTTTTCATCTGATTGGTTGATTTCTGGGTCTCTTTACCATTGGTTAATGGGTTTTCATCTGATTGGTTGATTTCTGGTTCTCGTGATTGGGTGACGAGTTTTAATCTGATTGGTTGATTTTTGTGGGTATAAGAAAAAGCAAGACTCTGGAAGCAAAGAACGATGGAATAGGGAATCCTCAAAACGTGATATTACTTGGTAATTTTCCTATTTTCAGAAAGCAGAAAGCGTACAAAGATAGAGAAAGGTGTGTTTTATATGAATTTGGGTTTTCTTTTTCTTTTTTTTTTCTACCACTCACAGTGTTCATGTGCTCTTGCCTAGGACAGACAAAATATCCTTTTTTAACCCTTTCTCTCTTGTAAGTCTCCTTAATTACTGTCTGCCATAGATTGCTTATAACTTTAGATATGAGAATTCAGTACAACGGATCAAAAAAAAAATCCCCCCAATCAATGTTTTAATTTTTCCCATCACTTATATGTTTGACATTAAAATTAATATTGTAAGGAGTGAGAATGTCTTGGTCATTGCTGGGAATGAAAGAGCTAACAATGATTGCAACAGTTCGTAACTTTAGTTGTATGTATGGTTTTTGCTAAGCTGCTTCTGGTGTCAATTTATATCTTACTGGGATCATTGGTTCAAAGGATGGATAACGCTATCCAATAAATCACCGTTCATCAGCTGGTAAGTAAGTGTTATCAAGAAGTACTGCACTATCCCACCGGAGAGAGATCTATCCAGTGGGCAGCATTATCCGAACCCTCGAACAACAGGGGCCAGATTTGGAAATGATGCAGTACGAAGAGTAGACTTACCACCAACTAACATTTATGTCGACATTTGATTTCAGTTTTGGCTTCAGTTGAGGCACACACAAAGCAAGGTAGGGTCAAGCTGGTAAATGCAAAACTCAGATTGTCTGTTGCCTCGACGTAAGTTTGTTCGCTTGTACAAGTATTCATAAAGGTCAGTTTGTACTTGCAAATGGGCCTAATATTGAAGCAGAGAGTCCCTTTTAGGCATCAACCTGCAGTCAGACGGGGGGGTGTCAATAGCATAACAAAGTATCAAATCCTTAGTTAATAGATAATCAATCGATTCCCGTCGGAATCCCGCTGGGAACTTATTAAGATCTTGGTGGGATCTTTGACAGGATTCCAGCCAGGAATTTGGTTATGAATTCTTTAGGAACTTGGATGCAAATTCTGCCTACATTTTTTCCAGCAATGTCGTCTATGAATGCTACTGCAAATGATATTCCAAAGAAAGAAAAACATGGCTTGGAATTATCTCTACCCTTCCGTACCAACGCTACACGTCAAGAAGGACGGACTATAAGCCTTCAGTCCAACGGGAAACAAATAAAACGAGTTTTTATTCCCAAGGGATGGATGTTTTGCACCATAGCTCCTCCAAAGTGTTACTCGTCACAGAGAAAGAAAAGTAAGATGGCTTTCTCTGTTATCAAGATGGGGTTTTCACTATGACACTTGTTTGCTTGAAGACAGCCTTCCGTTAGACATCAGAGATCCAGCTAGGAATGTACTCAGTTGTAGTGAAAACCATCCCTTAAAATGTCCTGACTGTGACTTTGTTTGAAAACTTTTCCGCTCACTCATCATTCCTATTTGACCGATTCTGAAGATGGCTCAACTTAAATATTATTTAATCGGACCTCTGTTTTCGGCATCCAATTCCAAACGCACCGAGACAGATCAACTTTTGCGATATGTAAGCTGCACAAGAGACAGTTCTCCTTCATGATCGTTAAACACTCCAATCTTACACGAAACACTAGTCCTTTTGCGACCTAAAAAACTTAATAAGTAATCACCGAGAATTGGTTGTCTGCAATTCTCTCGTGTTGCAATTAACTCATCCTTTTCATTGCAAGACCATCATGTGGAGGTTTTCTAACACATGTATTTGTTCTAGGGTCGTCCATAATCTTGAGTTTGTTTCTCTTATATATTGTAGGACACATAAGTAAAAGGCACACTTCTCTATCCGTTGCAAGACAAACAGTTTCATCGTGAGAAGCGCTTTGGTGGAGAACATCTGTTGTTGTTTTAATTCTTTAAATACTCAGTTGTCTCATCGAACTCCGGAGTGTTCTGTTCACCTTTATCTGTGGAATTTCTAGTGCTCCTCGTAAAATACCTAAGATGCACTGTCCTACCACACGTGCAATTTGCCTCAGAACTAAGAATATGATAGAATTTATTGAATGCTATTTTAGAGAAATTACTTTAGTTAAATTAAAGACACTATCACTTCTTTTAATTGGTATGACGATACTAATTGCAATTATATAGGAATTGCGAGAAAGCCGCAAGCCGATCTCTGGTTTCAAAAACATGCTTTTGCTTTTCTAGTCTAGTTTTCTTGAGTCGTTGTCCAATCTTTCAGAAGACTGAGCAAGAATCATTGTTCCTCGTTAAACTAATCATAGTATTACTAACTTTCACATTTCATTACCCATTTGCAACGGAATGAGTATGATTAACTAAAGGGAGCACTTCTTCAACAGAGCCGCTTAAAACCAACTTGTTAACCTGTAACCTGTACAAAAAATTTATATCTGCGCAAGAAATTAATATATTTATCCAATGATCTTAGAAAGTTCCAAGAAGCCAGTTTCTTCATTTGCCTAGAACAATTAATATACTTGAAAATTGTGGCAACGTTGCCGGCAGATAGACATTTGTATGTTTTAACAGCTTATGCCACACCCCAATCAAACGTCTCTAATAACGAACAAGTTGAGTTATTTTGAGTTGTATGGACTTGAAATGTTCATCATTTAGTGCTTGAAACAAGCTTTCTTGCTTTGGAAATTAGTTTCCTATTGATGAATTTTTAATCTTGCACGCCATTTTAGAAATATAGTCATTCACGAGATGTACACCATGTTTCAAGTTAAAAGGTCAGCATCCTCAGTATTCTGTAAAAGGTAGATAATAGATGAACAGTTACTCGCAAAGATTAAAATGTATTTTATAATTATTCCTCTGGCTATAGTTAAAGTAGTGTACATATTTATATCAATGTATAGACAAACAAAGTAAACCAAAACTGTCAACTGAATGCTTGTGCCTCAATGAGTTTCAACTCCTTGGTTGATGTCATCATTTCCCAAACTAAGATGAACTGGATTTTTTAATGTGCTACCTTCTCGTTATCATTTACAAAAGTCCTGATAAATTTGGGAATCGGCCATCGTTCATTACCGGATTAATGGGGGGGGGGTAGAGTATTTTGGGGAGGGATCACAAGGGTTTCGGGGGGAACGGAATGGGGATCAATCGTTACCAACAGAGTATAAGAGAGAGACTATAGAAAATTGATTGCCAATGAACTGCCATTTAACTGTTCATGACGGGGAGGGTGGAATCATGTAAATATTACAGAGGGTGGGATCTTGTGAATTTTTTCGTGACACAACCAACGTTCTCCAACCCTCCCCTCCCCTTGAGATGATAATAACGATCAGCCCCCTGCTGCTAAGCCCCTTTACATTCTTGTTAATCTTCCTAAGAAGTCATAATCTATATATGTCAACGAAATAAATTTTTTTTAAAATTGATCCTCTAGGAACGATAACATTTCAATTGCTAAACCATTTGCAGAGCTCAACATTTTTTTTATACAGGGCTATAGTTGACACAAATAATTACTCCCGCAGGCGCGGATCCATACCGGTTTCCACCGTTTTACGGAAATCGGTCAGAATTTTCATAATGAAAAAAATAAACAGATAATTATATATTTTCAATAAATTAAAGTGCAAGTTGCTGCAAATATATCTTCTGACTGACTCAAAAAGCCAGGAAAGGGCACTTTAGGTAGTTAAAATTGAAAACGTTTCCCGGGGGAGCATGCCCCCGGACCCCCCTTGGAGCTTGTGCCTCCGGCGCTCGTTTTGCAGTAAATCGGTGAAACTTTTTCCTAGATCCGCGCCTGTTCCGCTTGCAGGTTGTCGAAACATCAGTCACCACTACCAACAACAGTCCTTCTCGGAACTACACTCATTCGAACGATCAGACTACATCGTCACACGTTACACTCGGTCAGTTGTTACCATCGACGTGATAACATCATCCTTAATCATTACTCAAGAAAGATTTTCTTGAATCTCATTTAAGTTTTAATTTTACATAAGATCACCTTCCCGATCAATAAGTCGAGTAACGTTTAATATTTCATGCGATTTTTTTGTTTACTATTTTTCTTCCTTGTACTGTAACTCACTTTCGTATTGAGTTTTGTTTTTGTTTTCGTTGCTATTTCTTAACCAGTTTTCGCACAAACATGTAAGATAATTTTTAGATCAATCACACAAGTTTTGAATTTTTTTGGAAAGACCAGATGTCACCAGAGGCTAAAACTAGTCGGTCGAGCTTATGATCAAAACAACCACAAAAATGCCACAGAAAACCAAAATCCCTCGGAGATAACACCGAATAATTTGTTTTCAATTCCCTCAGAGTCCATAATACATCACACTTCTCGATTCTGTCCTGAAGAAACATTAGATCAGCTTGGCTAGTTAACATTGTATCAAACACGCACAAGAATGGTAAGTAAAACAAGTATTTATATAAATATTTCGACCCTTTTGGGAGCGTCAACATTGACCGTTAACAAATTCTCGCATGCAAATGTTGGCTTTCTATATTTTTTTTACAATAGAATGGATCAAATTATTTTGGATCATATCGATGATGCCGCATCTGTGAGAGAACAGCCTCCCATGAAACGAAATCAGCACTGACAGATAACCTTTTTAAGCAAGATTAGTCGATCATAGAAATTTCTCAAATTATTCTTGTTCCTGTCCAAGGCTATGATTGAGTAAAAGTATTACTTTTTCTTCTCAGGTGAAAAGAGAATGTAAACAACACTTTGTGATTAATTATTTACACATTTTGACTTTTCAGAAAATATTTGAGTCTTTTACAATCGAGTTTGTCTGTCACATTAAACTGAAATTTCTCAACACAATCGTTTTCATGGATTTCTGATTGTTATTTCGAATAAACGGAAAATAAAGAAACAGTACACAGCTATGCCAGATGAGACGCGAACAAATATGAAATTATATTTTGACAATGGAATTTAACTTATATTTCTGTTTCTGTGTCTATCAGTGAACGAAAATTGTTTTCAACTGGAATATGTTGTGGTCTTTTCATTTTCATTGAAATGTATGTCAGAGTGCTGAGGCAATTTTTCAATTATAAGCTAAACTTTTGCATGACTGAAATCGATTCGAGGAAGTGGTAATTGTCTGTAAACCTACCATACCACGTGTCTGAAAGAGGAAATTCTCACTTTGCAATTTATGGGTCCATTTTTTTACGATCTCATAAAGTTGCAGCGAGTAATCAGGAAAATTATCGTTTAGTTCTCTGTACATATGAATTTCCTTCTTCCTCCTGATACAAGTGGTATATTATAATTGTGTAATATTGGTAGCTAGCTAACATTTATTTTGTTTCCACTTAGGATAAACTTACTGAAGGGCAAATTCAAGGTGAGGTTATCCCTGAACATAATAAATTCAATCATGATGCAAAATGTTTTAAATAGTAGTATTCCATTCTCATTTTTAAGACAAAAAACAAAATACTATTTTTAGTTATCGAGTATTGTTTGATATTGTTTGATGTTGTCCTGAACTCGACAGAACAGTTCGAAAACAGTGTCCAACGTTCAGAACGACATGGACACTAGTGTCCCAAAAAGGAAGCATTTGCAAGCGTCCAAAATCAGATGAAATTGTCCGAAAACAGTCGCAGGTGTACGAAATTGGGATCCGTCCAAAAATGGACGAAGGCATCTAAAATTTGGTTCAAAGGCCGGATACCCGACAAAACCATTTGATTTTCGATACTTGCGTTCGTTTCCGGAATGCTCCATCCGATTTTGGACATTTTAGATAAGGTTGCATTTGATTTGCAATTTTGTGATGAGCTTTTGAATCTTTTTTCTGATGTCTCCTAAACAATATTTTTCTACTTATTTATTTATTATTTGTTAATCAAGAGTACAGAGATGCATTTCAACACTTTGACAAGGACAGCAGTGGTTTTATTACCACCAAAGAACTCGGAAACGCCATGCGCTCCTTGGGTGAAAATCCACGTGAAGAAGACTTACAGATGATGATTAATAGTGTGGACATTGATGGTATGTAAACCAACCAATCAAATAGACAGATAGACGGGCAGACAGACTAACTTACTGACTGAAAGACGAACGGACAGACAGATAGAATGATAGACGAACAGACAGACAGGCTGACTGACTGACTGACGAACAGACAGACAGGCTGACTGACTGACTGACGAACGGACTGACAGACTGACTGACGAACAGACAGGCAGGCTGACTGACTGATTGACGAACGGACAGACAGGCTGACTGACTGACGAACAGACAGACAGCNACCGCAACGAGTAAACATGCTGACGTTTCGAGCGTTAGCCCTTCGTCAGAGCGAATGACGAAGGGCTAACGCTCGAAACGTCAGCCTTTTTACTCGTTACGGTGGCCAATTTACAATTTTAATTTAGTTGATATAACCAAACAGACAGACAGACAGACTGACAGATAGACGGCCTACCTTGGAAAGTCAGGTTGGTAACGAACGCTCTGCTATTTTCAGTTTAAAAGACCCTCGACTTCTTTTCTTTTAAGGCAATGGACAGATGGATTTTGAGGAATTTGTTAAATTAATGGTGGCAAAAAATCAGTTCTCTTTCAATGAGGAGGAAGCCAAAGAAGCATTTTATATTTTTGATCGTGACTGCCGAGGCTATGTGATGTCGGATGATCTGCGACAAGTCTTTCAGACACTGGAGGAAAAAATTCCTGATCATGAAATCAATGATATGTTGCAAGATCAGAAACATCAGTTTCAGAGGAAGATAACGTTTGATGGTGAGTAAAAGTTAAAAAAAATTATCAAGTATGAAGGTGCTGACTTACACTCAGTACAGTTTTCCCAGTCAAGACTACGAGCAGTCCATCCTTATCGGCCAGGTCCGTCGCGCAAGCAAAATCGGTGAGAAGAAAAAACTTGATGTTAGTGTGCAGCGCAGAACTCTGGGAGTGAGACAACTCAAACAGACACCCGAGTTAACTGAGGGTCTCAAAGGGGTTAACCGTCAGCTGTAAAGTGGAAAAAACATTTAGCCGTTATGCTTCGAATTGACATATTTTAACCCTTAATCGTAAAAAAAAAAGTTAAACATAATATCTTAGACTGTTAGGTGCCTGGCTTGTGGCGATTGTGGGAAGAGAGAAATAATTTCATTTATAATTTATAATAATATAGTTTCACTTATTTTTTTTCTGTGTTTTAGGATGTTTAAGAATTAAAACTTTTTCCTTTTCCTTTCAGATTTTTTTCAAATGACCAAAGAAGGTGTCTGCCCCAAGGAATCCAAACAAAAGGAGAAGGAGCCTGCTCGTCCAAAATATGCACGAAGACGGCAAAAGTTTTATATCTACAGCTAAGCATTTGATGACACTGCTGTTTGTGTTCTGTGATGGGATGTGTTTTGTTCAAAACTTTTTGTCAGCCATTCAGATAAACCTTTGAAGCTCTCGTATGAGCAGAGTTAGAATTATTTAAAATTCTTCTTCTCATTCTGAGAGACTAAATGCTTCATGTATATCGAAAACGTGACATGATTCTTCCTAAGTAATCTTTAAATCTCAACTCCCCTACCATTTCCGAAGCCACCAACGGGACTGATCGAGAGATAATCGATTTGTACTCACGCGAAAATGCCATCTCTATGCTGAGTATATGTTTCATAAATCCAAAACAACTGGATGGCTCGAGTCTATAAAAATTTTCAGGAATTCCCTTTTGTATGACATGTGCAAGGGGAAATCACGCTCATTTAATTTTCCGATATGGAACTGTAAGGCTAGGATCTACGGGAAGTCCCGCGTGATAACGGGTGAAGTCCGTGATAAAGCGTGAAGGTTGCACTGATCATGACGTCATTATCATTGTTATCAAAGGCGTTATCGATATTTTTTTGTACTCTAGAGGACAATGTTTCAATTACACAGTTGTCGATGTTTTTCTCCTCTCTCTTTATCTATACCTATATTGGTTGTTGCCTATATACAAGTCAGAAAAGGTGTTCATCCGTTTCTTAAGTTTACTTTCGGTAGGAAAAGATGATTTGTCCTTCAGTGTCCGGTATGTAAACTCTTTGTGTAAAACCACAGACCATAATGTTGTGCTCCATAGGTAATTGGAGTTGTGGTTTCTTTAATCAAGCATTAATCATAATGAAGAAGCATTTGTTCTGGGTACTATTTGTTCCATCTATAGCTAATAAGGTTTGGATACTATAAAATTCTAATAAAAAAAAACGATTTTTCATGTCCTTCGAAAGAGAGTTAAGAAGTATAAAAACTGACGTTAGTAAAGTATTAAAACGAACTGTCATTAAAAAGGGTTACATACGACTTCAATTTTGTTTTTGATGCTACTAATAAAGTCAACTTAAGAAATGAAGAGAAGCGATAAGTGTTATCGTAAAATCTTGTTTGGTGTGTGAACCAAACATTTTTATTGGTGCATAGCAGACCAGTCAGCGAGCTGAGGTTATCTTATCATTTTGAAAGTATATTTGTTTGTTGTAAAGCAGTTTACCATAAGATCATAACGCTTCAAAGTCAACAAGTTTCAATATTTCAACTGCTGGAGTAGGAATCCTCTGTCTTCAACTTTAAATGGTTGGTAAAAATTATTTTAACGCGATTTGATAAAAATAGGGCCTACCTTGAGGGCACAATATCAAAATTTACTAATCTTCAAAGCATTATGTGGATTTGCTTCGGGTTAAGTAGCAATTAGGAAACGTCTGTGCCTAAATCCTGTATTCGTAAGTTCAGTATTTATGTATTTTGGGTTTTAGTGTAAGATCTTTTCCAATCATGAGGGGGTTATACAGTTTTAGTATGGTTTTTCATATTCTTAGAGACAGCGAAGGTTCACGGATAAGCCAAGTACACGCATGCATTCCCAGGGAGCCCAGAAAGCGACGAGTCTGGTTGTTTATTCGAAATATAAAGGAATGTATGGGAGAATATTGAAGGTTCTTATTATCGTAAACTTATATCATGAAATGTCTGAGTTAAAGCTCAAAATAAATGTAAACCTACCTCACTTGCTGTGTATTGTCGTTTCTGTGGCTCTAAATGGCGAATTTGAGCCATTTGGTGGGTTTTGCGTCGACTGTTACTATACGTTATAAGAAGGAGACAAGGGTGGAAAGCTCATTTTCGGCCGCCCTAGCGCGAAGCCGATTTTCACCCAGAATAAGAATCGCCCGGCTTCCAAATCGAAAACCAGATAAACTGAAAGGTTGACGCTACTTCTCGTCGCACTCAATCGAAGATCCATTCAAAATCCAAGCGCTAACCGCCAAAACATTTTCGAGAAATGCAGCTTTCGTAGCAATCAGCATCCGCGGCGCCGATTTCGTGTGCCAAGGCGCAACCGTCAGCTGTTTGCTCCACGCTGATTGGATGATGCTAAACAATGCTCGATTACAAATGCCTCATGCGGGAGGGGAGTCATGGGCATATTCGCGCCAGCGATTCATCTACTGACTAGCATGGTTAGCGCTTGGATTTTGAATGGATCTTCCGATTGAATGCGACGAGAAGAAGTGTCAACCTTTCAGTCTATCTGGTTTTCGATTTGAAAGCCGGGCGATTCTTTTTTCTGGGTGAAAATCGGCTTTGCGCTAGAGCGGTCGAAAATGAGCTTTCCACCCTTGTCTCCTTCTTATAACGTATAGTAACAGTCGACGCAAAACCCACCAAATGGCTCAAATTCGCCATTTAGAGCCACAGAAACGACAATACACAGCAAGTGAGGTAGCTTTACATTTATTTTGAGCTTTAACTCAGACACTTCATGATATAAGTTTACGATAATGACACTCTTTAATATTCTGCCATACATTCCTTTATATTTCGAATAAACAAACAGACTCGTCGCTTGTCTGGGCACCCTGTGATGCATTAACCTTAGTATTTCAGCTTAATTTTGCTTGCTACTGATATTTTTAAACTGATGTTATGTATCTTCTGCGTTCTTATATTTCCAAACTAAGTTGACGTTCCTATCATTTCCTTCTTTGGAATTCATTACTCTACACTGAACTGTTTTAATTATTTTCTTCCTAGGAATCGATCCCAGAGAGTCAGCTTGAAGGTAATCTTTGAATTGAGATTGAGATCAGCTTAGCCGTGGCGTATGACCGCGCTGAAAGATGAATCCATTTATTCATCCGCCATCATTTAGTCAGTCAGTCCAACGATCAATCGATGGACCCCTCCACTAACGAAGCACCAGAGTTTCTTTAGAAACTTACCCTCCTCATGTGACCAAGCAGTCAACTAATCAACGCAGAATTACCAAACTGAGTTTAAATTATCAATGCAGTTAAAAACTTTCTCTTACAGCCTGACGGAGAAAGTATATCTTTTTTTGTTTGATTTTCCAGAATACTACGAGGCCTTTCGCTATTTTGATAAGGACAACAGTGGTTGCATCACGACCAAAGGGCTAGGAACACTGATGAAGTCACTTGGTGAAAACCCCACAGAAAATGAAATACAACGTATTATCAACACCGTGGATATTGATGGTAAGTAACAGAAGGAAAATATAGATATCATCGTCACATTCCTGAAATTGTTTCCCAATAGTGCATGATCTCATTGGTTAGGTTGGGAGTCACGTGACTTGCATCTAACAATCAAACCGTTTCCGGTGAAAAGCCTCTGAGCGGGCAACAATGCAAATCTTAGTTCTTACCACAGTTTGACGTCATCTTTGATCTATTGTTGAACGGACACACGGGCACATGGAATCTATTTGTCAATTGAGATCGGGTTTGGTCAGGTTTTTAGAATATTTAGTTAAAAATTAAAACAAAGAGAAAGGGTTTCTCCATTGTTACTCTAAAGTATCGTCTACGAAAGGATAACACGATCGCTAGGTGGGCTAGGAGATTCATTATGATAGTGCTCTTGACATTAAAGCAAAAGCACTATTTACCGAGCGGAGCCACCATAACGTACTTTCTGCTTATCACAGGAAATGGTGTGATGGACTTTAAGGAATTCGTGAACCTCATGCTGACAAAAAATCAACATGGAATGGAAGTCTGCGAAGCTAAAGAAGCCTTTAAAATCTTCGACAGAGATGATCGAGGGTTCATTCTTACGTCGGAGCTTCGGCAAGCGTTTGCTACGTTGGAGGAGGACATTTCTGAAAGCGAGCTGGATGAAATTTTGGAGGACAAATGTCAATCAGGAAACAGAAAAATATCTTTTGAAGGTAAAGATATTTTTTAACGTGCCATGGTTGAGATTGTTTGATGTTTAATTTCAATGTAAGGTGTTATTTTCTGTGAGTGGAAGATGCTTTTTTAAATTTTTGTGAATAGTTGATGTTGATGGGCACAAGTTTTTTCCGTTTTGGATTGAAATGGAATCTCTTAGCGGACACAAAAATAAAAAAAAATAATAAATAAATAAAAAGCCGCCAAAAAGCGATAATTGTTGAGAGAACTTTCATAAGAATTATACGAATTGTTACGCACAGTCTGTGTTTCAAAACGAGGGTAAGCGTAAATATTACTCATTTTCATAAGAAAGGTTTTGCTCCTAGCCTCCTTTTTAAAGTGAGGGTTTTTAGAACTCGTTAATGGTCTATTCCCGGGTGGATAAGAGTTATGATTTGCATTGCGCTAACTGCAAAGAGCTCAGCGTTTATTCATTGCTTTTACAGAGTTCAAGAAGATGATGCGGATAGGAGGCTCGGAGGAAAATGCGAAAAAGAACTCATTTACAATTTATGCTTTCAGCAAGTAAAAGTAACAATCTCTTCCTCGCTTCTTCACCATGGTTTCTAGTCCAAAAAGAATGATCAGTCAGAATTTTCTCAGTGACCCTTATAAAAAGAAATAATCATAGTAAATAGTTTATTTGTAAAAAAGTTTCCGCCTTGAGGGCCATTTTAAACTATCAGGGCCTGTTTGGAGAATTGTAAAGCAAAAGCAGGACTTGCGTCAATTTTGCTTGGGCGTAATAACGGGGATAAATTTCTGTAGAGACTGTAGTGCTGGGTCGGCGGGAGGTCATATACGATGGCATATGGGCTAACGCCCGCAACGTAGCTTTAGAAAATCTTATCTGTGGCCAGTTTAAGATATCAACTCAGTTGATAAACCGGCCGGCTCTTTCTACTCAATTGTCAGTATCATTAAGGTGTGAGACTTGTTTGAAAGGAGGAAGTAGGTCTTTTTTTTTTTATCTTCCTACACCGTTTCTTCGGGCAAGCTGGTAATTGTCACATTGCCTTGGAAACCCGATGCCTGCTGCCAATTCCCTATAATTTAAGGAAGTTGAGTGCTGTTAATAACATTGCTGTATATTACTGTTTCTTACTATTTAAAACCACTTGCCCTAAAACTCAACACAATTAAAAATTTTCATTGCAAGATAAGGATGGAGTGAGCTGGCTACTCTATTTCTAAACGATTTCCCCTTGTTTTTCTCACGGTAATAGCTGTACCCATTTGTAGGGGTATTCTTTGCCATCCTTTACCGCACAGTTGCAGCAAAAACGAAAAAAGAAATAAGAACTGAAAACAAGAGGACATAGGTAAAAAATCTTTCCAGGACAAGTGAGACAAGTCGCCATATTTCTCGTCGCCAAAAGGTCTCAAATTCCTTCAGTGAGTTGTCAACAAACAGGTTCAGTCCAATTGTTATCTTGTGGTAAGTCTTGCCTCCAAACCTTGAGCGGAACTGTTCGGCTGAAAACAAAGCAAGATCACTTAGATTCCAGTGAAGCTTGGAATTGATCGCCGCATCATTTCGCAGCTAAACGGGCGTAACATGGTTTTTGTTAAGGGCAGAGGGATTATGGAAACGAACTTTCGGGCAGCTTACGTGAAAGGCGTATAGCGCTGCTTTGCCTTGTCTATTGACGGGCTCGTATTCACGCGCTTCTCACCCTGACTTATAAGTTTTCTTTGTTGGCTCAAAAAAATAATCTCACAAGGCAGAGAGGACACAGGCACCTCAAGGGCCCCCTCTCTAGCTACGACTCTGCATCAGAATTTTATGCATTGCACTATGAACGCGTTTCAGAATAGTATTTTCCAAAATCATGACTGCAGAAAGCATACCTTCCTTCTTAAATTCCTCTGCTGTCCTTTGGCGATGCTTCACAGAAGATCGCAAGAATACAATCCAAGCCATTCTGTCTAGTATGTGAGTCTGCGAGAGGATTGGGAAAATGTGATAAGGATAACATAGTCTTTATAACTGTAAATTAGATCAAAGGAATCGCCATCAAAATCTTTGTACAAACTGCAAAAGGAACAAATCAGCCTTGGTCTCTTACCTTGACCCAGTCAGGCGGTTCTATGTGAACATTCATGTGATAAAAGGAAATGAGGAGACAGGAAATTGCGATAGCACAAACGCACTCGAACATTACAAAGTAATAAAACTTGCAGAAAACTGGAAGATTTGGACTCTTGGGCATCCCATTTAAGGCCTATAAATACGCAAACAAGTAAGTCCATTTTAAGTTAGATACTTGTAATAACTTTACACACAAGACCAATTTTTTTACGTTGAAAAGCGCTTTCTATTTTTCCTTAAAAAAGATTAAAACCTTCTTAGAGGAGAAAGTCCATCCGTTAACTACTCTCAAAAGCCCCTGACTACCAGTGTTTTCCTTCCCCCAAGTCCCCCTAATTGATAAGGATTAATAAAAATATAATAGGTTACTAATAAAATGTGATAAATTAAACAATCGTCTGTTCTCATCTTAGACGAACTTTGTGTAATTTATACTACAAGCGTACCTTCAACCTTTCGAAAAGGTGTTAAAATCAACTGTTCTCTGATTTACCATGATAACAATTTTAGAAAGGAGTAAAATACAAGTCCACCTAGATTTGATCCCCTCCCTGATATCAATATGATGCAAAAGTCCTTGCGGAAAAGGGCAGCATAAATTAATCAAGTGGGGCTCCGCTTTAAGGATTGACGAAATCTACATCTGGAGGATTACACGTTCTGATTACGTTAATTGTTTCGAGCCTTTTTACCCCTCACTGTAAAGAGGATCTTAATGGGGTGACGGCTTTTACGGCTGTCGATTAAAATTATGACCAATTAACCGCTAACTGTTAATTTTTTTTCCATTGTGGTCACAATGTACTGAAAATTTGCAATAGATAGAGCGCTGGACTGTTGTGCGGGAGGTCGAGGGTTCAAGCCCCGGCCGGACCAATACTCAAGGTCTTAAAATAATTGAGAATATGCTACCTTTTTATAAAATCAAGAAATGGTTAGATATTCTAGTCTTCTCGGATAGCGACGAATAAATGGAGGTCCCATCTCCTACAGGGTTAGGGGTAGGAGACGTTAATTTCCCACGCACGAGATTACTGTGCGATGGATGTCCTCCCCTGGGGTGGGATGGGTGGCATTCATTGGGTGGGATTCATTGGGTGGACTACTCGCATGGTTCGCATATGTTCCGTTCTAGTCCTACCCTACTGCGGTAATGCAGTGAAAATGGTTAGAAATTCTAGTCTTCTCGGATAGCGACGAATAAATGGAGGTCCCGTCTCCTACAGGGTTAGGGGTATGAGACGTTAATTTCCCACGCACGAGATTACTGTGCGATGGATGTCCTCCCCTGGGGTGGGATGGGTGGCATTCATTGGGTGGGATTCATTGGGTGGACTACTCGCATGGTTCGCATATGTTCCGTTCTAGTCCTACCCTACTGCGGTAATGCAGTGAAAATGGTTAGAAAAACTTAAAATTTGTCAATTTGGCCGTTTTACGGCTAACAGTCAACCCCTCTTTTACCCTCGCACTTACGTCATACGTACCCTTAAGTAATTGACCCACATGATGAACAGAGTGTTAATACCAACACCAATTCTCTCCCCAGTCTCCGTCGGGAGGAGGAAAACGAGAAGTGTCAGCATTGCGTTCGAGAAACACGGCAAAAATAGGATCACAATGTAATACGTTGTGTGACGTTTAAGCTGCATGGTGAATGCCACGGATGGACTTGCGTTAGTGTCGTTGTCATGTTGGTCAACAGCTGTATACAAAGAAACGTTTATCATCTAAAATATATTTGCAAAACTTGTTATTAAGTATGTGATCTGAGGACAAGCATTGAGTGCTTTCAGCTCAGGGCTGAAGGATCGACACACGTACGTTTTACCGCGGAGCCTAGGGCTCGTAAATCTCTTCCTTGTTAAGTGCTGGTAGTTATTTCAGTTTCGCAAGGGCGTCCGCGAACTCCTGCGATCATTTCTTCCCTTTCTGAGTCCCATGAAACCATTCCTCTTTAACATAATCATGCTGATCAATGTTTAAGTTTTGTTAAAATTCAGAGGGGTGAAGGAAAGTATTTTTTTCTTTACTTAATCAAAACGTATCTACCAAGATAGAATAATTTAAGCCGATGCAACTCAGCTTATGATTTCCTATCGCACCCAAAAACAGACGGATGATGTCTTTAAGATTTAACCAAAAGAGATCTTCTCGAGACGGTCATAATAACTCTTCGTTCCGGGTTCAGGGCTCAAGGATGCTTTCCGTAAGCCTTGGGGGCTTGATCACGTTGTCAAGGGAACCATAAAAAACAAAACATGTCAAGTTCAACCGTAAAAAGAAGATTGTTTACCTCGGTATTCCATGACCGACCATCCAGCTGATGACGCAAAAGCTTCCTTTGACTCAGCAAGTATTGATGTTTTGAAATCTGCTGAGAACTTCAGGTCCTTGTTAGTGTACGCCCAAGTCCCTGAAGAAAAGGGGTAACTATCTGAAAAAGCTGTAGACTGTGGTGATGCGTTGGTAAGGGCGAAGGGCGAAGGGCGAAGGGCGAAGGGCGAAGGGCGAAGGGCGAAGGGCGAAGGGCGAAGGGCGAAGGGCGAAGGCCTCAGAAACTCTTAACAGCGGCAATTCACATTATTAATTCGGTTGAGAAAAATTAATAATCATGTTCCTGAATGTTTGTTTATTAGTCTTAAATCATTCGTAGTTGAACGTAAAATGTAAGTGCTGATTTTTGTGAGACTCACCGAATTTAAGTTTGCATCTTTGAATATCAAACGGATACATCGTCATGTCCATAATGCACGAGATACTAAGAATTGTCGGCACGGCAATTTTGATTTGGCCGTCATATCGAATCTCGGCTAAGGGGCTCAGACCACCGTCAGCACTCTCAAAAATCGGGGCAAAACCTGACTCAAGCCTGTAAATAAATCGTTTGAAAGGTGTGTAAAGACTACTGCAATTGAGCCAAAATGCACTAACAAAAACCAACAGAGTATTGTATTCAATTTGAGTTTTCCACTGGCTCGTGATGACGGACAATGAAGTAGCGTGGATTTTATGACAAGTGTTTTTACTCACGAGTTTAACAGTCCAACAGATGGTGTCCAGATCGCATCCACTGGCAAGTTAATACGTGTCAGGTTTCCATACTGCGAAGGACTCCACATCAAGAACCGATCTTGCCAGGTCTGCAAAGCGTGCAAATAGCAGTTATGATTGTCGTGTCTTTTCCCGCCAATAGTGATTATTTTAAACAACAACAAACATATGAAACATATGTGTGAACTGCGGTTATGAGACGTATATGAGAAGTAATTATTTTAATGTATTTCATTGTTTTCTTTGGTCACGTGCTTTTCTAGTTTTCGCAGTCAGTCACGAAATTTTAAGCTTTGCTTTGCTTTGCTTTGCCTTTCGTTTTCTCGTCCTTTTGTGGAGTTGATTTAAAGTTTTTTGAGCTTAACTGTTGCGTTGGCACGGTTGTTTGAGTCGAGTAAGTAGAGGCCGAGTTTTCCGCTTGTGAAGCGCTGAATGGGCCGATCGATCGAGGATAATAAAGAATGACAAAGAACTAGAGGTTTGTGACTGATCTCGTGTTTGGATTTACATACATCACAACGATTCTAATTGTTGATTACCCCATTGAAAAACAGATACACAGAGATACACACACATACAAGCCGGCATGAAAAGACAGATACGCCAAGCAGTTAAACTACAGAAAACTGAGAAAGGCTGCGAGACAGACTAAAAGATGGACGGAGTCAACTGGGACAAAGATACAGGGGACACGTATGATGCACGATCCTCGCAGTAGAGAGCGCTATTTATGCATTAGCGAAAATCAGACCTGAAAAAAATCAGGCCTGTACGGGATTCGATACAGGGGACACTTGATATGTTACGAGTTTAACAAGTCGATTCCATGTTGCTGTTTGTGCAGAAATAGATCACAGATGACCTCAAAATGTGATGAGAACAAAATGATCTATTAGTCTACCCGAACCACGCCAACATGGAATCTATTTGTTTTATAGAATAAAACAAGCAGAATATTGTTCATGGTGACGTTATCTGTGTGAGTCCTCAAATCGATCATAAGCAAGAACAAGAGGAAATAATGTCCCATTATTTTCTCTTGATGAGAACCAATCAGAATACGTGTATCATTCAGTTTGTCATATAATTAGAAATAAAGAGCACCCACTGACCAGTCTATACCAAAGGCTCATCCGCACAAGCTGCTCAACCTCATCCTGGAAAAGACAATGACTAATGACGAATTTCGCATGACTGAAAAGAATTCAAAACATATCAGAATGTTTTTAACAAGAGCTACCAATAAGTGCCTGGGTGCTTATTCAAAATTTCAGGAAAAAGGAGGGGGGAAACGCTTATTCGAAGGAGGGCACTAGCAATAGGAAAAAAATTAAAAGAATCAGAAAACACACTAAAGGAACTCTTGAAGCACATGGAGAAATAAATAAATAACAGTAACGGAGAAGAAAATATTCTTCTGTACCAAAACTGCAAAGAAAAGATTTGCCCTTACCACTCTGAGCAATCTATACGGCTGAAGACCCAGTGTAACTTCCAGCACCTGTGATGCATTCTCAACTGGTCTCACGTCCATATTGTAGTTCTTTAGCAAATTTTCAATCAGCAGTCGATCAAATGAGGCACAGTGCAAACCTAAAATGTGTCCTGTTTAGTGACTACTGGCACAAATTGAGCCTGAAAGGAATTTTGCTGGCTTGATGATCATGGGCTATTACATGTTATAATATTACTGAGATTCAACATGCGTCCTGATTGGCCAAAAACCTAACGTTCATTACACCAGTAACCCATAGAAAAGTGAAGTTTGTTTTCCGGTATAATAACTCCATCTCTTAGGATGTTGGGATGTAAGTTACGTATGCCGATAGAAAGTGCGCTTTAATAGGGTTTTCCGATTGAGCAAAAGTGGAAGTTACTGATAAGTAAAAGTTCATTTAAAGCCAAACTGACTCCTTTAACTGGCAAAACAACCACAAACACAAACATTTCCACTTCTTAATTGCATATACTACCTGAGCGCGGATTCTTAGAGCGAACTTCTATTCAATCAGAAAACCCTATTGCTTTGGACATTTACAATTGTGTGTAATTTTTGTAAGCTACAAAAGATTAAATGAAATGTTTTTGTCACTAGCTACGTTTAATAACATTCACCAAATGGATTGCTAACTTTGGCAGCAGGTATCAGTTTTAGTTTGTTTTCAACACAGCGTGTTTTGCGGGTGCCTGTTGCGTGTTGGTGGTTTAATTTTAAAAATACCCAAACAGGACAAGCTGGAGATCTTTTCAAAAACATCGTTAAACGCATGTATATATAGAACAATAAAAATTAAAAAATTTTAATTTGAAGGCAGGTTTGATAATTGCCATAGAGAAAGTGCCCGGTATCTACATCCTTGAATAGATATAAAAAATAGAGAAATGTTTTTAGTCGTGTCACGAGCGTGGGACATGAGCGTGGGACATGAGGAATGGAATCTCAGGTCTTCGGATTCCGCGCTCCGATGTTCTACCACTGAGCGTTAGCCACAGACTGACTCTAAGGTGAGCAAGGCCCATTACGAGATTCATAAAAGATATGTGCCTTTCATATACCAGCATGGAATTTCTTTTTGCCTCTCAGAATTATAAGATATAAAAACTATGAAATGTGCAGTGCATGTCGTGTTTCTAAGGGAATTATTCTTGTTTCAGCATCACTGGTCAGTAAAGGTGTTCAGTTCAGTATCATGTCGCTTCCCAATTTCATTTCTTTGATATTGCAGGTAGTTTAACATACTGCTTACCTTGAAAAAAGGTTGAAAGTATTGTTCCGACTGTTATTATCGTGGAGGACATGATAAGTCTGCATTACTTTACAGCGTTTCCATGATGTAACGTTAACAGCGAAGTGATGCATAATATGTACACAAAGTGAGAAAATAATTCGCCATTTTCCATTTTTCCGTGCTGACAGCGTAAGGTAAACTTACAGGCTGAATTAATGAGTTGGCGGTGTCATTATTGTTTTCTTACAGTCTCAGCAACTTATTAGTAAATTATTAATGAAAGACTTGCACGTTTGTGTCAGCTCTTTGGGGAATTAAGCCCAGAGAATAATAATTAGTTCTTATTAACTGAGCGGGAGGTCTATATGGGAGAATCTTGACCGAGGTCGCCAGTACAGACC